TTCTCCATCACAGACTAGAAGATATCACAATACTACTTTTTGTGCATTTAGTAACAAAGAAAAGAATGCTGGATTGCTATGTGATATCCAGCCTCTTATATGGCAGTGAATGCTGCACAATCTCCCCATAGATGAAGAGAAAACTGAAGGCAACATAACTTTGGTTCTACAAAAGTATGATGAGATTTCTATGAACAAAGCAAATAAGTAACTTGGAAGTCTTAAAGAAAATGGCAACAAAAGATTTTGTCAGAAGAAATTGCTGGAATTTCTGGGAACAACAGCAATTAAGAGGTGGTTGCATACTCCTCAAAACTTCCAATCTTCTGATCAGAGGCCTTGCTGCCAGATGTAGTTTATCATCATACCCAGGACCCACATAAAAAGGAGGAGGGATGGGAAGTGGAAGAGAGGTAGGGGAAGGCAGTTAACCACCTCCCTGACAAGCTTATGTAACTGGGTGATAGAATGAAGTATTAACAAAGGGAGAAAAACTGCTAAGGACCACAAGTGATAGGAAGTTGTGGAGAGTCATGACCATAATTCCCTGAAGGGACATAGCACATAGAAGATACTTAAAATGAAATTTCTGTGATACATACTGAGGAAACAGGGGATGACAGCAAGTCATCTACCTGACAAGCTTATGTGAGTGGATGGTGAATGATAAATAGGATGCCTGGCAAAGGGACAATCATTGCTAAGCACTATAAAGGATAAGAAGTAGTGGAAAGCCATAATCATCCATGTCTTGAAGTGACACAGTACATAGAAGATTAAAAAAAATTATGAAATTCTGATGTTTCAGACAAAAATGGTAATTTTTCTTTCATTATTTCCTTATATATTTGTGACATTCAATCAATAGTTTTAATGAACCTGTTCCTTTTTTTTTAATTGAATTCACTCCGAGCAAGGGAGTAAAGCCACTGAGCCATAATGATTTACAGGGTGTGGAAGAATTAGAAAGCATAAACATTATCAAGAAGCAAGAACAATAGATGAGTAACTAGGAATGGCTGATATTGCATTAAAATTTTGGAAGACTAAAGTTGACATGAAAACAAGATGAAAGGCAGAATGGGGTTTCTCAGATGATTAATAGAGCGCAGTTTAATTTTGTTGGTGTTAAAATTGACAAGCCATTCTTTGCTCCAGTTAACAACAGACTGAAGGTTGTTTATGATTTCAGCTGTCAATCTGACTATATTGAACTGATCAGATTTAGTATCAAGACAGGAATAAATAGTTGTCATCAGCATATATACCAAACTGAGGGCTGATGCCACCAGGAAGGTTGTTAATGAAAAAACAAAGTAGGACCAATGATAGATCCCTGAGGGACATTTGCATTAGTACAAAGGGATAACTTTCATGTTAGTATTTCTAAGATGATACTGGAGAGATGCAGTTGTTTTTACAGTTGGCACAAAGATGTTGACGTTTTAAAATAAAAATATTCAACATAAAATGAATCAACACTGGAAAATCTCCATCAAATTTCACTCAATGTGCTTATGTAAAAGAATTGTCATAATGGATGCTACCTGTGTTAGATGTAATTATAATGGATGGTGAAAAAAAGATGGGAATTGTGGGTATAAAAATGTCTACATGAGTCAATAAGAAATTAGATATACACACATATTTTATATATATATATATATATATATAATATATAATTTAATTTAAAGAAAAACAGACCACTTTAAGGCTCCATTTGTAATAATTTATTTCACCAGAGAATTTTATTTTTCTCTGGATCTTCAGATTTCACTTTCAAAAGGTATATATATTAACAAATGGTGGTTCCAACATAAAGAGTAATATTTAATTTGCATAACAATTTTAAATGTATATTTTAATAAATATATCATTTGTGCTATTTATTTTCAATTAAAATTCTAAAATGGCCATATATAAGCAATATTTCTGTTAGTAAAGTTTTTAATTCATCATGTTTGTATAGAACAAATTTATATCTGCCTTCTCAAAATGCTAAGTTAGATCACCTGTGTTCATAATAAGTATTGTTGTTATCTAATTTTTTGCATTACTACAAAATAACTCTATCCTTTCTCCCCCAGTTACAGGTTAAATATCAAGGCAAACTGCTCTCTCTCACCATGGTGCCCAGACAGTCTAGGAGTAGGACAACTCAGAATTCAAAACCAAGAGAAATACTTGAAATACTAAGATCTTTCTTAGGTTTCAATCAAAATGTTTAAACAAAAACAACTCATTGAATAAGAGTTGTGCATGTATTGATGTATTGGATTATGCAACAAAGGATGATGAATGATGATTGTAATAATAATAATAAAAATAATAATATAAACATTAGAAAATTATTAAAATATTTCTTTCCTGGTCAGCTCTATGCAGCAATGTCCAGAGTAGAGAATTGAAGTGGAATTAGCATAATGGCAAAAAGAAAATTTATAAAATAGATGTCTTGTTGAAAATGTTTATTCAGAAATGTTAGAGAAGGAAGAGAACTTCAGTGACAACTTTTCTCTGTTTGTAGAACAGGTATTTGGCTAGTATATATAAATACACTTTGCATATTATAATAGATCTTGGTAAATCTCTAAGCAATATTCTTTAAAGTGAATCAGTCTCAACATAATCTCTATTTCAAGTTCCAATTTCCTATTAATCTTTTCATCTGAACTGTTTCAGAAAATCTATTTACTGCTTGTAAATATTTGTAAATTTTGAAAGCAAAAAAGATGTTTAAATGCTAAGATTGTCAAGAGCAGTCAGCTTCTTTGATGAAAGCAAGAATGAATACAGACAGAATTAAAACAAGTGTTTGCAGCTTCATATAAGTTTAGTGTTCCTTAAATCTTTTTTTTATCCTGCTAGTTATTGAAAGAACGAAAGAGACATGAAGTTATCTCCCTCTTTGTCTCTTTGTTTTCCTCTAAGGTAATTATTTAATGAACGCCACTAAAATAATAAAACTTCTGGTCTTTTTCCTTCAGTCTTCTTTTTTTACCACTGTGTTGTACTAGAACAATTGTAACAGAATTTCAAATTAGCTCAGAGAATTTTAAATATAAGAAAGAATATTTTTCAGAAATGCTATGATTTGGATTTCTGTTGGGCATGGAATTAAAAAGAAAAAATCTACCAATGAGGATTTTCTACTTTGGTAATTATTTAATGAACATCACTAAAATAATAAAGCTTCCCTCAGTCTTCTTTTCACCACTGAGCTATACCAGATTGTTTAATTGGCTCAGAAAATTTAAACATAATCAAGAATAATATTCAGAAATGCTATGATTTCTATTGCCAGTGGTACAGCATTACCATATTTTCAGAATATAAGATGTACTTGTATAAAAGAAGTACCCTCATTTTGAAGAGAGTTTTTTTTTTTTTTTTTTTTTTGAGGCAAAAAAGATAGTCTTATTTGAAAGATTGTTTTTGAACAAAAATTCAATCTGATATTTCAAAACTTCTGATATCTTGTAAATGCAAGAGAGCTCAAAACATTGAAATAAGAAAATACCCGAAGTAGAGTAAAAAAAAAATCAAAAAAACTTTTAATCAAAACCTACAAAATCATCATTGCTTGATTATCACTTGGGAAAGATTCACATTTTATTATTGGATTACAATATTACAATTTTAGGATCAAAGAGAAAACCATCCTCAGCCCCAGTAACTATGTTTAATGATACCACATTTATTAAATGACTTAATCACTATATTATATAATTTTCACACAAATTCTTCACCCACATGTACACCTGAGCAAGTGACAGTCTTTTCTGTCATCCAGTGGGGGTTGTAGCAGAATTTTCATGCTCTTAATATATAATCATTGAGTTGTTGTAGCATACCTACAGACGATAATGGGTATATCCCCATTCATATAAATACAGTAGTAAATACTGTATGTTGGTCTGCAGTTGGAGAATCATTATGGAATTCACTTGACTCACTAGCATTTGACTTCTACTTCTACACACTGCTGGCGAATCTTATATGTGTTGTTCTTGTCCTAAGTATTATTGTTCCTTTGTGTGATTTTTCTATTCAGTAATCTTCCATTTTTTTTCTGTGTTTTTTTTTTTAAACCCCCAAGCTTTACCAGAACAGCTGTACCAGAATTCCTAATTGGCTCAGAAAATTTTAAATATAAGCAAGAATAATGCTCAGAAATGATATGATTTGTATTGCCATTGGGTAAGGAATAAAAAAAAATCAATCTACCAATGAGAATTAATTTAATGTTTCATTTGAAAATTCCTGGAAGTTAGCATATCACATTCCTTGAGAAGATAACAGAGTAGAAAAGCCAAACAAAGCTGATGAGGATATTAGTCCAAGTAAATCAATGTACAAGTTCTGATCAAAAAATATCAGGAATGGTGCTATAAAAAGAAAACTGCAACAATATATCAATTCTACATTTAATCTTCTTCAAAGTAGTCCCTTTCTGAAGCCACACACTTTATCTGGCATCATTTCTGGAACTCCTTTTTTGGGATAGTGAGCAGCTCCCTTGTGATATTCTCTTGAATTTCCTTAACATCTCAAATCGTGTTCATCTGATGTCGGATTTTGATTTTTGAAAATGAAAATGTTGTAAGGAGTGAGATCTTGGGAATATGTGTATGGTTAAAAACAGCTGCACAAACCATGGACACTGATGGAACTTCTGTAGTGTTGTGGGACCACAACACTCTACACACTTTCCTTCCAAGAACTGTTATAAACAATAGAAGTGAGTGAGAACTTTATAACTTAGTGTATATGTGAGACAGAGTTTAAGGTCAATCTAGGCTAAATGGCTTCACTATGCATTCTTTAGTTGGGTTACCTTAGCAACAATCCCAATACTTTTTGATCAAACCTCATATAATAACACTCTGAATTTTATTTGTAGAAAGATATTATAGAAAACAGAGCTAACAATGTGGTATATTTAAAATTTTGTTAGAAATAAATCTGCATTTCCTTCCCATAGCCTTTTTCTATATGCCATGTTCTTTCAGGATGTAAGTGGTCATGGCTCTCAACAACCTCCTATTGATTGTAGATAAGATAGGTACTCACTATTTTCCTCTGCTCCTCTTGCCTTCAATATCCTGTTAGTGTCAAATTCTTCAAGCTCTCCTTCCTCATTATGTGCCCTAGAAATTTCAACTGTCTCTTTTTCATTCTAAGTATAAGAGACCTATTTGTTTACATTTTCCTCTGTGAGGAAATTGTCCAACATTCACTGGAGGATTCATGACATTTCATTTCAGACATAGAAAGGAAACTGAAAGTTCTAGATAAAGTTATAAAGGAAAGCAAGAAGAAAGGACTAACAACCAATTGTAAGATGATAGAATGTATAGTTGTGAGCAAGAGGAAAAGCCCGAGAAGCAACCCAAGAATTGGAGGCATCAAAATCAAGCAAGAACAGAAATTTTATTATCTGGTGATATTTTTTTTTTGAAAGGACAGAAAATATGGCCTAGATCAAAAATCACATTAGAATAATGAAAGATGCCTAAAAAAAAGCTAACCAAAATATTAGGAAGCAGGGGAATTTAGTCAGAAACCAAGAACAGTATGCTGAAGTATACAGAGACCACAACATTGATATTTTCAAGTTCCACTTTTTTATATTTTCAATATAAACCGACATAACATTTACAACATTGATGGCTGTCTGGTCACAGAATATAAATGACTTAAAAAAACATTCCCTTGGTATGTGAAATAGGTTTCTATTCACATTAATAATTTTTATTGATACATTAAATTTTGAAAATTTATTCTCAGCAAGGAGATTATATGAAGATAATATTTAGAGGTTTTTATTTTCACAGGAAATTGTCTGGCAAATTCTGAAGAGGGTAAAGGTTTCAGAAAGATAAGGAAGAGGAAATGTTAGAATAAGTGTTTAATTTAAAACTTAAACATTTTTCTATCATAGATTCCTTTTTCTTTATTGTCTATCATTCGTTCTTTTTTTTACATCTGTTCTTGTTTCTTTCCTTCTCATCTGCCTCTTGTTTCTCTTCTTTCTCATCTGCCTCTTGTTTCTTTCCTTCTTGTCTACCTCTTGTTTCTTTCCTTCTTGTCTGCCTCTTGTTTCTTTCCTTCTCATCTGCCTCTTGTTTCTTTCCTTCTCGTCTGCCTCTTGTTTCTTTTCCATCTCGTCTGCCTCTTGTTTCCTTCTCATTTGCCTCTTGTTCCTTTCTTTCTTGTGTGCCTCTTGTTTCTTTCCTCCTCGTCTGCCTCTTGTTTCTTTTCTTTCTCGTCTGCCTCTTGTTTCTTTTCTTTCTTGTCTCTCTCTTGTTTCTTTCCTCCTTGTCTGGCTATTTTTTTTTTTTCTCTCTCTCTCTCATTTGTCTGTTTCTTTCTCTCCTGAATTTCTCTACCCGTTTTCTTTAATTTTTTTTTCTTTCTCTCTCATCTGCCCTTAGTTTTCCCTGTCTCTCTTGTCTGTCTTTGTTTTTTTTTCTCTTTTGCCTTTGTTAGCAATTATAAGATTTTGTTTTTAAAGACTGATTTTTTTTTTTAATAGTGTTAAACTTTTAAGTAAATATTTTATTTGACAAAATGTCTACTTACGGGTTTTTACAACAGCTTTTCTCTTTATGATGTAAAATTTGAAGTCATTTAATTTCTCTTTTAATAGAATACATTTTAAACAAAAGAATACTTAGGGTTTGAAAGAAACAGAAACCAGCTAACTTAATTCTTAACAATATTTGTCTTTTTACTAGCTCTCCTTACCATTTCTGATTTTTGGTAAGAGCTACAAGAAACAGGAAGTTGTGGGGAATGGTGATCAATCATGTCTTGAAGGGACTCGGCACATAATAAGAATAAGAATCTTACAAATAATTTCACCTATTAATTTCTGGTATTATGTCAGCAATATTCTAGCTTGGCATATTTTTTCCTCTTTCCTCAGCTATTTTGAGATTATATATATATATATATATATATATATATATATATATATAAGAAAGCATGCTTAAGCCAACAAATTTTATCCTCTGCTATACCTCATTAAGACAATGTAAGAATTTTATATTGCAACAAGTGTTTGTAAAGAACAGGAAAAATGATAGTTTTATTAAATTTTTCAAAATGTTAATTTTTTTTTTATTAAAGTGTTAACTTCACTACCTCCTGTTATTTTAAATATTTAACACATAAATTATTCCCAAACTAAAATAATCTAAATATTAATTACATACAAAAAAATTCAACATCATTTATGCATTTTCGTTTATTAGACATTAAATTACGTCACTTAGCGTCTTTCATAATTTACCTTGACATTGCAGTTAACCTGATGAATATTTATGAGTGTCTCTGAATTTAAAAATTTTGAAAAACTACCCTTTTTACTTTTATTTATTGATATTTGGTGCCAAATAAAATCCTTACATCTGCCTTGATAAGGTGCATAAGTGGATGAAATATGTTGACTAATATAGGTTTTGCCTTTAGTCCATTAACAGATATATATTTTAGTTATATCTGAAATTTTACATACAAACATACATAGATATATATAATATACTTTTTCATGCTATCTTTTTTTTTTATAATTTCTTTGTATCAATCTGTAACTGATGGAATTGCCTTGTTTCATTTTTGAAATCACAAACTATATAAAATTTATGGTTGTAATCTTTTTGCCTGAAGACCCTTTTTGCCTACAACTAACTGTATCAACACAACAGGAATCTTTTGATCCTGTCTGGCCTCAGTAATTTAACCTTTCATTTATAATCAGTAGAATGCCTTTTGTTTCTTTTTTCTTATCTTCCTGGCATCTTGACTACAGTCACTTACTCACAGACATACTGTGGCTTCCCTCTTTTCTATAAGTATTTTCATGGCAGTTGCTCTGATGAGCTACATTCACTGGTGCCCCAACTGCATGAAGTTAAGCATGTTACTAGGTTGGCATCTAGGTCCCACCCTTTCACTATTGAAACAGTTAAATGTAACTACCTCTTCTACTCCAACAGCTTCTTTTCTCACACTTCCCGACAGTGGAACTTCCTTCCTTTTACTTGCTTCCCTGATAACTATAATCTTCAAATGTAATGTCAATCACCATCTTCTGATGCCTTGATCTTGATGCCTGTCCTTCTCATTATCTTTTCTTCTTTACTCTTACTCTCACTCTCTAGTGGCATTCCTGCCTTGCTTGGGGTGAAATGCTTAAAAAAAAATAAATAAAAATATGTTTGGTTTTATTGTTTATTATTATCATGAATTATACTTTTTATTTATACAGGGTGTGACAGAAATACCTTCCACATAATGGTAAGACATTAGCTAGATGAAGATGCCATTGTTACTAATGTCTTACATGGGAGGTATTTCTGGAAGGTGTATATGGGAATTATTTCTGCTGCATCCTGTATACATATTTGTACAATGAGTTACTTTATTGTTTTAACACTGATGCAAATAAGCACTAACTTATAATCAAATATTTGTCAATTGTCTATATTCCTGAGATGAGGTAATGTAACTCTTTACACTATTTACATTGTTTAGACTGTTGTCCTCATCTTTGTCATATTCACAATGTTTCAGCCAAGGTACGCTCTTGCCTTCTTCAGGTGATATACACTGGAATTTCAAACTCTTTATTTAGTCCACAGAGGTAGATTGTTCTAGTTCCATGTGCCATGCCTTTTCTGGATATCTCAGTTTCAGTTATCTCCCTTTAGTAACTTAACTCTCTGGATTACTTCAATCAATGCCATGTGGATAAAAGCATTGGTTGAAGTAATCCAATAGTGACTTGACCCAAAGAGTTGTGAGTTCAATACCTGGCTACAGCAGAGGTGAATAAAAACTTGGAGATTTGAGTTACTGAAACTGAGATAACCAGAAAAGGTATGGCATAGCATGTGGAACTAGAACAATCTACTCACATGGAATAAATACAGGATTCAAAATTCCAGTGTATATATCAGCTGAAGAAGGCTGGAGTGTACAACTGCTGAAACATTGTGAATATGACAATAAAAATAAAGGCAACAGTCTGAACAATGTAAATCATATAAATTTGTCAATTATACTTTATAAATCAAATATTAATTACTAACTAAACACATCATTGCAGTATAATAGTTGTTGGTTGGTTATTTTTAGCAGCATACTAATAGCTCTATGGGCTATTTAATGCCAAAACCTAAATATTTTGTATGTAATTTTATTTATTTATAAATGTAATATTGGTTTTAATGATACATGTCCTACTAATTAACACATAGCTGTGGAAAGAAGATTCACATGTACAAATATCCAAGGATATTTGTACATGTGAATATAATGAATCCAACGGGGATTGGAACTCAGTTTCTTGAGTAACAATCCTGAACCATTATCCACTACATCACCTGCACATTCAAGCTTACAGCACTTGGTATTTCCAAACAGTCACCCATCTAGCTAGTGACCAAACCCAACTTTGCTTAACTTTGGTGATCATATAGAAACTGGTGTGTCAGTGTAATGTGGTCATAAGCTTGTAGCATAGTGGTTAACCAGTTCACTTTGTAGATCATTAGTACTGAGTTTGATTCTCACTGGGTGTTCCATAATAAGGCCTTAAGCCAGACTAAGTTTAGTAAATAACTGCTAACAGGTTTTTCTCAGATTTGGTTTAATCCTTTAGATTTTAAGATTTTTTTCTAATACTAAAGTTTACCCAATACACAGCTTGAGAGCCAGTCAAGGTAGACGATTACTGTTGAAATGGTTATGGTGAATGTAATATAAAGAGTGTGAAACAGGAACTGGTTGGAAATGTAGATTATGAGGATAGAGGAGGTTAATGTTGATATAATTTGAAAATGCCAAAATGTGAAAAGAATTTTTCCTTGTTTTTACATGTGATTGTTCACTAATCAGATGAGAAATTAAGACAAGTCAAAATTTTGAGAATACTGACAATGATTCACAAAATAGCAAAACAAAGAGAAGCTGAAAAGAGGAAAGAAAATTTTATCAATGTTAACTTTAAAAAAAAAAAAAAGGCAATCACAATTTGATAAGAATTCCTTCATTGATTTTTTTTTTTTTTTTTTTTTTTTTTTTTGTGACAATATATTTATAAATGGCTCTTAAATTATCTCATTTCTAGTTGATAGATGACTTCAGTGAATCTATATCTGTAGTGGTATTGGAAAGTTCCCAGACTAGAATTTCCTGGCTGACTCTATAAATGATTCTACTTACATGAGATATCTGATGAATTGTTTGAAAATGACCTTCATGGATGTGTTGTTGAAGTTTTTCTTCATTTCCTGGTATTTTACTTAGACTGAACACTCATCACTTTGAATTAACATCTGACCAGTCTTGAAACATTTTGCACTTTACTTAAAAACATGTGTTCAATCTAAGGAATGTTCATCAAAAACCCGAAGAAGAATTTGGAGGCTATTGATGCTAAATTAATTTAATTACCTTCTTCCAATATTTGATTCAGGTACATTGCTTGAAATTGTCATTGTAAAGTTTGCAGAGCTATTCCAACACATCATGAATCCCAATTTAATAAGTGAATATTTTGTACAGTCCAAGAACTATCCTCTCATATTTTGATGAATTGGGAAAGTATTTTTTAAAGATTTATTCCAAATCTGAGGCAGAAAATACTATTATTATTATTATGTTTAAACAACTTTATTTCTCTGTTTTTTTTTTGTTTTTTTTATTTTCATCATGTTTTTCTTCTATTAATTTGATTCTTTCTTTCTTTTAGTGTTTCTTACTTTCTTTTTCTTTCTCGTCTCTTAATTGTTTTTTCTTTCTCATTCTTTAATTGGTTTTTCTTTCTCGTTCCTGAATTGGTTTTTCTTTCTTTTTCCTTTTTTTTTTTTTTTTTTTTCTGTATTTTTCTTTCTAACCCAGCTATGGGTTAATTCATAGGACTTGTAAAATCATTATTATCTCCAAAAAATTGTTACAATTTAAAAATATTTTCTGGCCTTAAATAACCTGCAAAAGGTTGATAAGCTGTAAAAAGTCAATAAATCAATCAATCAATCCTATTTAGGTATGAAAAATTTAAAGATAAAATATGAAACTTTTATTCAAAATTTTTCAATTTTCTCAAAATGCATTATAAATAACACTGTGAATATCTTTCTGAAGGTTATTAGTCAAACTTTATTTTATCATCTGATAGTGAAAAAGTGTTTACTTGTGAGATCATTGTTACTGAATGTAAAAAAAAAAAAAATTAGTGTGAGTTAACATAGAAAAGTTGCATAAATATTTACTTATCTACAAACAACTTTTCCTCTCTTAGGGTCAATAATCCAATTGTCTATAATATCATTTAAGAAAAACACATTTCATCAAGACAATCTTAAATCCAAA